CTATTTTATCATTAAACTTTTTCTCTGCGAAGAAGATCACATCTGGATAGCTTAAGACAAACTTCTGTACCTCTTCTTCAATACATCCAAGAGAAAACAACTTCTCTTTGACATTTGTGTAGTTTCTTCTGAGATAGTCATTGGAAAGGTCTAAGATTTCAGCTCCTGGACCACATATCAGTCCCAGCAGTTCCTCACTGTTCAAGCTGAAAGAAGACTGTAAGAATTCAATGTTAGCTTTCACCCGCTTGGTGCTCTGAATTAAGATAAAAGGGTTTTTAAAAATTATTTTCCTGACAAAATCTGTGGGATCATTGTGACCCAATGACAAACAGACTGCCTGCAAAAATTCAACCATCTGTTTATTCAGATCAAGACTATTGGAGAAGGTACGAGGGGCACTGGTCAACAATCGGCAAAGGCATTTACGGGGCAATCCAACTGAGTAGAGGAACTTTATATTATTCTCTAAGTTTAGGTTGTTACTGGACCGAAAAAAGGATTCAGGAGAACGTTCCAAAATATTTACAATTTCAAGGTCTGATGTCACAATCTCTCTCCACAGATCCCACCGTTTTGAAAGACTCTCAGGAGTACGTGTTATGGCTCGTGGATATCTTGATATAATGCTAGCAATCACTTCTTTGCTAGCTCCTTTGGAAAGAAGGAACATTTTCAGATCCTGCTCATTGGTAATCATCCTGTTGAAAACTCCAGGCTGTCGTTTCCTTGCCATGACAATATCTACTCCCATAGTAAGTAAGTTGTTCAGTAGCTCCTCATTCTCCGAAGGCTCATTGTCTGCATTACGATACTTCACACCAAAAAGCCTAAATGAAACTGATTTGAAGACAGTTTCTGATGAAAATCGTGTCATCCAACATCTTGAACCAAAGAGAAAGTTACTTCTCATACACCAGAGGTTTCCTGCTGCCATAATGGTTAGGTAGTCCAAACTTTTTTAAATGCTGTATAAAACAACACATAAAATATTACACAAATGTATGTGTCAAACAACTAAATGACCACATTATGATCCTATGAGCATCATGGTCCTTTCTATGAGAACACACCTTCAGCTCCAGCTCTCCAGAACTGTGTTAAGAATTCAGCCACTACACCGTCTCTCCCTAGCTCACTGCTTCTGTTATCGGTGGGCACAGGGTTGCTTCCATTTTTAACATAAAGAAAACAGGATTGGGCACCATTAGTGCCCCAGAATTATTCTTGCTTTTTTTCTTGCTCTTTTTGTTCACCCTTGCCTGCCTTGGGCACCTAAAAACAGTTGACCCACTGCATCTCTGCTTCGTCCTTCTGGCTTCCATCTCTGCTTTGTCCTCCTGGTTTCCAAACTTTTTTTTTTTTTTGAGACAGGGTCTCACTCTGTCAACCAGGCTGGAGTGCAGCAGCACAATCATGGCTCATTGCAGCCTCATCTCCCTGGGCTCAGGTGATGTTACCACCTCAGCCTCCTGAGTAGCTGGGACCACAGGAATGCACCACAATGCCCAGCTAATTTTTTATTTTTACTTTTTTGTAGAGGCAGGGTTTCATCATGACACCAAGACTGGTCTCAAACTCCTGGGCTCAAGTGATCTGCCTGCCTTGCCCTCCTGAAGTGCTGGTATTATAGGTGTGAGCCACCATGACAGGCCTGACTTATTTCTTACAATGAACTTTCATTTCTGCCTTATATTTCAATTTTCAGATCTTTGACCTTGCCCTCCCCATAGACACTAGATTTCTCTGCCTCTGACATCCCGGTTTTCAAACTCTAAATCTTGTCCTGAAAAACCAATATCTCAGATTAATTTCCATCTTGAACACCTTTTTCTAGATTCATGGTACCCTGTATAGCCATGCTACCATTAAAGCCTTAATTCTTCTTTGCTTATATAGACCTCTAGTCAACAGCTCTGGATCACAATTTCCATCTCATTTGGTTTACCCTATCATTCCCTACTTTGCAACCCAGTAATTTCAAACCAATTTTCATCTTCAAAATGATCTAGTTGAGATATTAAATCCACACAGCCCACATGTGAAACTGTATATAAACATTAAAACTTTACTTTTACCATTCTCCCCTTCTCCATCACCATATTACACAAGATTAATTCTGGGCTGTCTGCATCTGCTGCACAACACTTTCAACTTGCAGCTTCTAGCATGTGACTAAAACCTTAATAACTAATTTACTTGATCATTTAGAAATGTGGCCCAAAACATACAAACTTATTTATATTCATAATCATAGGTCCCTACTAAAATGAACATTTCCATTTTTATAAGAAATATTTTATGAGGAAAGCAACAGAAAAAGTGTTCTGTTATTCGGCCCATCTGATGATTTGTTACTAAGCTACTTGTGCCTGAGTCACATAGCAGAATATATATATTTTTTAAACTGTACTATTGCCTTTTCAGAATATATAGCTGTAACAAAGTTCGTGCTTCATTTCTAATCATCTACCATGGGCTCTTACTTAGAAAATGCATTTCCTTTTTCTCCTTCTCCTAATTAAGCATAAAACAGAAAATAGAGATAGATGATTCCAACCCACTACTAACCTCTGTGGGCTAAAAATACTGCTTTAGATCAATTTCAAAGAAAGCCTCTTTGTGTCTACCCTTTCAATTACTCCAATTTTAGTAAGAACTTGATTATGCCTAGAGGCAGGGAACATTCCTGTGGCTCACGAAATCTACAGATTCTCACAGAATTGGGAAAAGATTCCACAACTATAGAATCAAGTAATGTTCAAAGGGAAATGCAGGGCACTCACAACATAAATATCAAACAACAAAAGTACATTTTCAAATTGATCGATACTCTACTGAGCTCAGTATTCACTTCTCCATAATACCACATATTACTCTATAACTACATACTCTTCCAAAAATGTGTGAATTTAGAAACTCTAAAACTTTAAAATATAATTCTCTCTCTAACTGAAGAATGAAGGCTCTACCTTGCATAGCTCAACAGTCTGATGCTCGAGTGACCTCTACTGGAAAAATGAGGCAGACTGCATAGCTGGAGATAGGCCAGTACTTTCTAGAGAGGTCCAAGATGATAAAATGGAATGGAGGAAGAAAATAGTAAAACTACAATTTATGTCTGGCTTAGACTTTGAAAAATTCTTTACACATAAACAATGTAATTGTACTGTAAGACATATAATCAACAAACAAGTGTACATATATTATAGGCATATTTTTACTAACAATGTACACAATCAAAAATGAGTGAAGACTACTACATAGTGCACTTTACTGAGACTATCAGCATCACGGTAAACAGGGCTGAACAAGCCACAGACCGTTCAACAGAAATTCTACTAACGGCAAATTAAAAACAAGTGAAAATGTGTGCCAAAATTCCTAACAAAAATAAATCCATAAACGTTTCTTCTAAAGCTGTCACAAGTAAATTTGATGTTTTATGTATAACTCATCCTCCACAGAAGTATCTTCCACACGAATTAACATGCCCCAAACTTGAGTCTCTTTCCCAGTCCCCAAATTTGCTTCTTCTGACTAAAGACACCACTATCACTATAGAGTCATTCGTGATAAAAATCTAAAAGTGAGCTTTGCTTTCTTCCTCTTCAACTCCAGTCATCAAATCATGTAGATTCAGCTTCTTTGGCATCTCTTTAAAACCCAACCTCTCTATTCTTCGTAGTTCTCACCCTGTCACACTGAAGGACTGTTTGAGCCCAGAAGGTCGAGGCTGCAGTGAGCCATAATCAAGCCACTGCACCCCAGCCTGGATGACAGAGTGAGCCCATCTCAAAAAGAAAAAAAGACAAGAATACATGTTTGTTAAGAAAAAGGATGACCAGGCCAACCGCGGTGGCTTCACATCTGTAATCTCAGCACTTTGGGAGACCAGGAGTTTGAGATCAGCCTGGCCATCATGATGAAACCCCATCTCTACTAAAAATACAAAAATTAGCCAGGCATGAGGACGCATGCTTCTAATTCCAGCTACTTGGGTGGCTAAGGCACAAAATTGCTTAAACCCGGGAGGCAGAGGTTGTAGTGAGCTGAGATTGCACTACTGCACTCCAGCCTGGGCAACAGAGCAAGACTCTGTCTCTAAAAAAAAAAAAAAAAAAGAAAAAGGATGACCATCATAACATCATTTGCTATAGCAAAGAAGAAGAAACCCAAATGGCCACCAAAAGAATGATTAATAAATTGTAGTACATCAATACGATATCCTATAAAGGTGCCAAAAATAAAGGTCGATTTACTGCAATCAAAAGATGTCCAAGATATTCTACATGACAAACTGCCTAACAGTATGGATAATGCCAAGTATATTAAAGGGGGGGGGGATATTAATATACACAGAGGGGGTAAGTGGAATGACATCTATTTCTGAAAGATTAATGGAGTCTACGCACTACTTTGAAATATCGGGACTTTATTTACATGTGTTACTTTGCAGTCAGACAAAAAAATTTAAACAAGTAAAACTGGCCTTAGGTGTAAAAAAAAAATGGAAAATACATATCATCTTTATCTAGTTTTCAGTTTCTAGCACCAAAAAAGTCACACTTCAAAATTCTCTATGATGCTTTACTTTTAAGCAACCGATTTCCATTCAAAATACTCATATTATCTAGCAGGATAAATGAACAACTAAATAGCCTAATACAAGAGAGTTATCAATTTTCCTCATGTACAAATTTCAAAAATGGTACCTATTCCGAAACTGACTTCAATCTATTTCTCAAGCTGACTTTTTAAATTAATCAAAACCATTATCCCAAGGGCTAATGTTCAAACTTAATAAACACACTGAAAATCTCTACGGTTGTAGTATAAGTGGTCTAAAAAAAGATTTCCGTTCCCCTCTGCCCCACAACTGGCCTGTTAAAAAGGCTGTTAACAGAAATAACTAATCACTGGCCCTAAGATACCACATTCCAGCTGGTTTCTTCTGACACAGCAAGCTAAGTTTGGAGATCTTTACATGCATTTCTTACCTTGTTTGTCTTAAGGAAAGGCTCTGCATCCCTCCATAAAGGCTGGAGAACAACTGTCTCTAGAGATGACACACACAAACACACACACACACAAAGGCAAAATATATCAGGCTTTCCTAATACAAAATAAGATTTGGATCCCAGCTAACGTTCTCGTTGCAATATGTTCTAGTGAGCCTCACTGCCTCTTGCAAACATCATCTCTCAAACATACAGAAATGAAAACGGCAAGTACACGACGGCGTATGATGGGAAAAGGTAGCGGAATCACGAACATGTTTTATAAAACCAGAGCTAAGTGCTTCATATACATTGTCTCGCTTTACACCCCACAACTTAAAAGGTAGACATAGCCTTAAATTACAAAACCTGAAACAGCGCCGAGCTCCCATACTAGCCGGTGTTCGCTAGCTGAAGCATTAGGGTTCGAAACCCAGGGAGGGGGTCTTTCTTAACTCAAAACCAAGGTTCGAAACCCAGTGGAGGGATTCTTTCCTAACTCAAAACCAAGGTAATTCCACACCGAAGACTCTTTCCATCCCGCTTCCTACTCCAAGCGCAATTCTACAAGAGGCTGCACTGTATAGCAGTCACCCAGACCCACTTCTTCACAAAAAGAAAGTAAAGCACAGCCTCACCACCTTCCCAGCCCCAACCTGAACTGTACCCACCCGCTGTATATGGCTTTTACTTCCGCCTCTGGCGTCCGGAGTGGCTAAGTGGAGCGGAAGTGGAGCAGAGTAACTTCCGTCCTCGGGTCGCGCGCAGAGGTGACGTCATGGGTCCTGCGCCCTCTCGGGGCGGTACTTCAGCCCTTCGTAGCCCGACGGTAGGGCCCTGGCAGGGGGCAGCAAGAGACCGCCGTGAGCGCGGGTATTGAACACCCTTCACGGATTTCGGAGGGCGGGATGGGACCAGGGACTCCCAGTCGCCTGGGCAGATGACTGTGGAGAACTGTAGGGCATCCTATCGTGGGCATCCACTGCCTGCCGACGACACGTGGTGGGAAAGTCACTATTTACATGAATGTTGCAGTTTTTGATAATGTGACTAACACGATGCCTATGAACATCTTGGCGTTTTCTGGTGCAGGAAAAGCGGGTGTGTTTACTCTGTTTAGCCCCAGATTCTCATTCTTTCATGAACTACTGTGGAAATCCCGGAGTGTGACTGCTGGTCTGAATTCAGCATCCGCCTTCAAGCAGGCTAGGAATCAATTCTAGTATACTTCGATTTACCTCCTGCAGCTCGAATTCAAATATAGTTCTTTTGACCTGGTAACGGGTTTGCGCTATTTAAATTAAAGAATGGAGGCAACCGAAACCTCATCTCCACAGTGGATGCGTTTTTGCTCCTACCCGAGGCGTTGCCTTAAACCATGCGGTCCTGCCTAGTGATGGTGACAATGGAGGAGATAATAGCTTCAATTCAAAGCAATTATCCCGTGACCATCAAAAGAAAGATAATATCTACATTAATGAATTAATCACATCTGTAGAGTTACCCTCAGGAAAGAGTGGTGATTTGGTCCTTAGAAAAACACAGGATCAACAGGGTTTATCCTGAATTCTACAAGGAGGAAAAAATTCATGCATTACTAACTCCTCCATGTACGAGCCTAATGATATAATTTTCTGGCCGGGCGCAATGGCTCATGCCTGTAATCCCAGCAATTTGAGAGGCCAAGGCGGGAGGATGGCTTGAGGCCAGGAGTTCAAGACCAGCCTGGCCAACATGGTGAAACCCCGTCTCTACAAAAAATTAGCGAGGCGTAGTCACAGGCTACTGTAGTCCCGGCTACTGAGGAGGCTAAGGTGGGAGTATCACCTCAGGCTGGGAGGTTGACGCTGCAGTGAGCCGTGATTGTGCGACTACACTCTAGCCTGGATGACACAGTAAGACTCTGTCTCAAAAAAGAAAAATAATTTTCTTTATCCCTTTTTTTTTTTTCTGAGACAGCGTCTCGGTCTGTTGCCCAGGCTGGAGTGCAGTGGCGCAATCTCAGCTCACTGCAACTTCCGTCTCCTGGATTCAAGCCATTTCCCTGCCTTAGCCTCCCGAGTAGCTGGGACTACAGGTGCGTGACACCATGCCCGGCGTGTGTGTGTGTGTGTGTGTGTGTGTGTGTGTGTGTGTGTGTGTGTGTGTGTGTGTGTGTGTTTTAGTAGGGACGGGGTTTCACCATGTTGGCCAGGGTGGTCTCTATCTCCTGACTGCCCACCTTGGCCTCCCAAAGTGCTGGGATTACAGGGGTGAGCCACCGTGCCTGGCCTCTTTATCGCATTTCTTTGCCAATGAACCAATTGTGATTTACTGTCACTCTTACCCTTAGATTACTCCTAATTGGGTTGTTGTCACTTTGTTTTTCATTAACTCTCTGTTTTGTTGGTTTAGAAAGATAAAGATTTATCTTTGGGAATTTAAAATACTAATAATCAGCCTATCTATTGAGTAAAACTACTTACTGCAATTCCTCCAGGTAAAAATTAGTCCCCCAAAATTGGAAATGGCTTTTTAAATGTGAATTTCTAAAATCTATATTCCCTCTGCATGGAAGAAGCTCCTATGTCCGAATTAATATTACTATATATTCTATATATTTTATGTATATGTGTGTGAATATATATACACACACACACACATGCACAAGCACACACAAACTGCTTTAAAATCAGAATGTAAAACAATAAAATTTAGAGATTAAATTAAATAAAATAGCCTTTGAGATTACTGAGCCCCAGCCCTCTCATTTTACAAATAAGAACACTGAAACCCATAGAGTAGGAACTAGCAAGAGAATGCATGTCTTATACTTCCTTTACCAGTAAGTCTAAGATTTATACATACTTTGTTGTATTGAAATCTATCAAGAGTTATTTCAGACTTACTTAGTTAACATCACCTATGTTGGTTTTTAGTGACATTTTGTAGGTAAAGGCAGATTGGTTCTTTTGAAAATAAGTTCCATATTTCCCATCAGAAATTTTCTGATTACAAATCTATTTTAAATGCATATTATAAAATACTGAAAGTATAACAATAGAAGTGTAATCATGGCTGGGTTAGGATATTGTATTTCTTCAATGATTTTTGAAATGTCATTGCCTCCAGTAAGAGCAATGACTACTGCCTCATTGTCTTTTATGCTGTTTTACATAGGACCTGTATATACCTTTCCTGTATTTCATGTGTTTATTCAATGAACATTTATTGAGCACCTGCACATTCCAGGCCCTGTTTTCTGGTTAGGGGATATAGTGGAAACCAAGACAAAGCCCCCTGCCTTCCTGGACCTTATTTCTACTGGTAGGTCTTACTTTCAGCCTGAATGTTTTCTCCTCTACATGCCTCCTCCATCTCCTTCCCCAAGACCATAGCAGACCCATGTCCCTACCAAGTTGATGTAATTAAGAAGAATAAAGTGGCTGAGTGCAGTGATTCACACCTGTAATCGCAGCATGTTGGACTTAAGATACTCAGAAGCTGGGCTGAAAGTCAAGTCTGAACACAGAATCTGTGCTGTATTCAGAAGTGCCTCTGCCTCTTATAATTAATAATTTTTTAACTGTGCCAAATGTGTCTGTTCCTCTGCCCTGGAAGTGTCCTTCCTGCTTCATGCAAATAGATTTCTGGCAAACCACAGCCCCTCAATTGACCATTTATTCATGTTTGAATCTCAGCAAGCCCAAAGAAAGGTCAAAAAGAAAGTGGCGCTTCATTCCTCCCACCCTTCCCTTCAGATGATATAATACCCACAGTCTCCTGGATTCAGCAGACAAATGCCTGCCCCATCCCCACATCAACTTCATGGACAGACCTGCTAGCTTCCTATGTGACTCACTTGAGGGCCGTCAGAGGAACATCAGGTTTCTACCCAGGACTCCCTTACTCCATTCTCTTGCCTCCAGCTGTTTTGTTTGCATAAAGTATAAAATGTTTCCCGTTGTTCAAAGCTAATTAAAGTAGTAGATAAAGTTAACCAGAGAGTATCACTCTATTTGTTGGCAAACATATAGAAAAGATAGCTTTATTTTCCCCTTTTCACAATTGCTTTTTAACAACTTAAGATTTCTAAAGATTTTGCTTAGGCAATTTTCTTTCTCTGAAGTGTGTCTAAAGACTTCCTGAATCAGCTTTCATGCTCCCACATTCATTACCACAAGGGTCTGTGGCAAAGAACTGGATACTTAGCCTAGCAAATTTGCTGATTCCAGACCTGATATGAGCCCAATTCCCATGGTAGTTGGATTAGTCAGCCAGAGTTGGCCAAGAGAACCCCAATAATCATTTGAGATCCCATTCAGCCTCATGAGTTTAAGTACCTTTTGGATTGTTTGATCCTACTGTACCATATCTTAAATTAATTGTCAGGACGTGATTCTTAATCATTGGTAGAAAAATTAATCTCAACAGAGAGGAGGAGAGCAAACATTCACAAGATGAAATACTATTTTCATTGTCTGAAACTATTTTCCTTTCTATTTAAGGTATTTCTTGAAATTTCTCCTTTAGAGATTTATTCCTGGGTATAAACTGTTCTGATTTAAAACTGCAAATGTATTTGAAAGGGAAAGCATATTAACCCAAAGGTCAGCAACCTTCTTCTATAAAGGACCAAATAGTATTTTAGGCTTTGTGGGTCACATACTGTCTCTGTTGCAAATTCTCTTTTTTATTTTCTATCTTTCACAACCCATTAAAAGTGTAAAAACCATTCTTAGCTTGAGGGCTACTGGGCTACTGGCCACAGTCTGCTAAGACCTGCATTAAACTATAATGAGTTACTCACATATAACTGTAACTTCATGTGTTGATTGCTATATTAAAGACATCCAAAAGCTAGGAATTTTAAGAGAAAGTACATGGAGAGAAAAATAATATTTGAAAACATTCACATAAAGGTATCTGCCAGGCACAATTCTAATCAGTTCACCTATATTAACTCATTTTGTTGTATAATGGAAATAATATTATCTTCATTTTACAGATGGAGAAACTAAGATAGAGACTATGTGACTTGCCCAAGCTCATGCAGGTATTAAGTAAGGGAGCCAGCATTGCAACCTAAGAAGTCAGGCTCCCGAGTCTATGACTGTATTCACAATGCTATGCTGACACTCAGGGAGACATAATACTTTAGTTCATGTTAGAAAATACAAATGAAGGGGCAAAAAAAATGATTTCAATCATAATTCCATCACCTAGAAATAACCCCTATTTATATTTTATTTATATTCTTTTGGTTTATATTCTTCCAGAACACATGAAAGAATATAAACCAAAAGAATATAAATAAAACATATAAACTAAGTATTTTAGGTGTTGTGGGTGACATACTGTAAAACTGTAACTGAAGCTAAATTACAGTTATATGTGAGTAGCTCATTAAAGTTTATTGCAGGTCTTAGCAGATTATGGCCTATATACATACACCCATAGAGTATATTGCATATCCTTAGTCAACCCTATGAGGCAGATATCATACTTTTGCAGATGAAACTGAGGCTTAGATGAATTAAGTGACTGTGTGTCTTAGTCCATTTTTGTGTTGCTATAAAGGATTACCTGAAGCTGAGTAATTTATAAAGAAAAGAGGCTCACAGTTCTGCAGGCTGTACAGGAAGCATGGCACTGACCTCTGCTCAGTTTCTGGTGAGGGCCTCAGGAAGTTTACAATCATGGTGGGAGGCAAAGGGGGAGCAAGCATCTCGTGGCAAGAGGGAACAAGTCGGGGAGAGGAGGTGCCACACACTTTTAAACAACAGGGTTTTACAATAACTCACTCTCACAAGGACAGCACCAAGAATATGAGGAATCTGCCCCCATGACCCAAAGA